CACCGCACGTCAATCAGGTTGAGGCATTGTTGGAGAAGCGAGAGTCGCAATCGCAGTCGCTGAGGGTTGGGGAATTGTTGGAATTGGAGTAGGTAAGGAAGGCAGGCACTGTTACTGCTGGCTTTCCTGCAGCAGGCCTGCGCTTGCAGTTGATCTCGCTCCACCGGGACGGGGGGTTCAGCGTTCTAGGTTGCGCTCCCTTGCCTTGCCTTGGAAGGATGGAAGCTAGGTACAACGGGAAACACGTTACCCCGCGCGCATTAAGGACAAGCGGCAGACTGAAGAAGGGCGGCATCCGCGTCTGATTGGTTTGGGCGACTGTCATCAACACAGTGCTTCTTCCATGGTGAAGGTACATCTGAGGCGACAGTACTGCGTACGTTTCCCGGAAGAGCAGAGACCAGACGGCGGACGACAGGCGATTCCAGACTTTGGTTCTTCACCCCCATGGACCCTGGACCGGGATCATGGCGTCGGTGGCAGACGACATGCGTCAGGATAGACGACGTGGGGAGAAGGAAGTTTGAGTCTGCGAGCTTCCATGATTGAGTTGGGTCGTTGGGACGGATGCAACGGGGGATGGTCGAAGGAACCGAAAACTCCACCTGACAGCTCGTGGTTGACGTCGAAGCACTGGAGACACTGCAGAGGGCGAATGGCGGGTGGAGAGTGGCCAGCTGCGGCCATGAGCGTGGGAGGTGGACCCATTGGCCGCAGACCATGCTGGTGGTCCTGTTCTCGGGGACAATGATGCCGTAGCGAGGTGGGCGGCCGTCGCCGACAGGTCGGGTTGGATTTTGTTGGCAGGTGTTTGTTCTCTGGTCTGGGTAGCTGTCACACCGTCACTTACACCCTTCTTCTCCGAGGCGTGTCATGTACCAACTCTGGATCGTCGGCCTGATCTGATCTGATCTGATATCGCTGGAGTGACGACAGTCCACAGAGACGAGGCCGAAAGTGGCGGCGAGCAAGACAGCGAGCGGTGCCCATCTTTCTCGTCGTTTCGTCGGAGAGAGATTGTCGTCGTGAGACGTGGTCATGGATGCTGCTCAGAAATCCCATAAAATAAAAAATTGCGCCGTAGGGCCGAAGAACACCCAGAAAAGCATGAGACCTGCTGGGTTGGGGATGGAGAATCACCAGATGGGACGAATGAGATGCGCCCAATGCCATTCGCTGTCGGTGCCACAGCAGAGCAGAAACAGCACCACGCAAAGCCCATTCCCCATGGTGGAAAGTGCCAGGCCCATGTTCCTGGATTCTCTTTCCTCGTCTTATCGTCTGAGGTGCACCTGCCTGGTCTCCTAAACCAAATCACCTCACCTACCTAGGTACTCAATCATCATCACCACGGCTGCTCGTGGAAAAGACCCCTCTAACGTGGAAACCAAGCTTCCCTCTCCTTGAACTGTCCCGAGTCGACAGCATCGGAAGCCGCCTTTCCTCGCTGCAATCCCTGCCCTGAGGTTCCATTCCTTCGCCGCCCTAGGCCGTTACAGGCGTTGATCGAGCTCTAGTGGGGATCTTTTACAGGGTCCCCAGCGCCGATTGGTGTTGGCAGTCGCCGCAATCTCTCGGCATCTACACGCCTAACCGCTAACGACGACATAACGCCATTATTCCATAGCACCACCCGCGCCCACGCCGCACACCACCGAACCGTCGCTGACGCCGTCTACCGTTCCAGGGCCCGACTCATGCCTCCCGTTGTCCCGCTCTGCCGTCACTTTTCAACTTGCCAACCGTCTGTCCACTCGACCACAGCAGCTCGAGGATTGACAGTGACTCGGTATCAGCGGATACCGGCCGCATCTCGATGAATCTGCCCCGTCTGGAGCATCTCATGGATACATACTAATAATACCTCGTATCTGTCTGGATACTCAGATTAAAGGCCCGCAAGCAACCCAGGCAGGCATTTCTCGGCCAAAAGTAACGCAACCCCCATACGACTGAGGCGTGTGCTTTTCCCAACGACGTCGTCAATATGGACCCCTCCATCCTGTAGACCTTGACTAAGGCACAGCAACCGCAGAAGTCTTAGTCCGACGTCGCAGGGAGGTGGCTGCGAATAGCTTCAAAGACCTTCATCTCCGTTCGTCCAGAGGGGCCTGCGGATCATGCACCTCGCAAACCGAGCCCAACACGACGCAAAACACGACTCAACCTGGCAATCTGCCAAATGATAGACACCAGAACCGCGAGCTAATTGTTGCTACCCCAGTATCTTGCAAAGCTTCCCCCACATTCTCCATCCCACGCACCACTCGCGGCACAGTGCGATGGCTACTCCGTCATGCCGGCTGCCTGCCTATCCCGCCTCGCCCGCAGCTCTCCACGACGCTACGCTACGCACGAGAAGACCGCCAGCATTCCCCAATAATGAGGCCGGGCCTCCACATCTTCGCTCGAAGGGAGCTTCACAGTCGGCCTCCTGACGCAGAAAACCACCACCGTGTCTGACACAGTCACCCACAATCGTGGCGGCTACGGATGGGGCCCCGCGATTCTCAAACGCTCCCCCATCTATGCTTCCCCGCATCACACCCTATGAATAGCCAACTCTCACACGCAAGCAGTTGATCCCATCTTGCTCAGCGTGCGACCCCCAACCAACCACCCTCCCTGACGTCTCCAGCTTTGCGGGGAAAGCTCCTGCACCTTGGAACCCTCGGTCAATGTCCATTGCAGCACTCAACTTTGGCCGCACTCCCTCGAACCCCAACACTCGACGCTCTGTACTGTGTGGCGCACGCCTGCCACGAAACCCCAGTCTCTGCTGACGCCCGGGTTGATCCCCGGATCCGGTAGTGCGGCGGCTTCATGGACGAGCGGAGGATTGCTTGCTGCTCTTGCCGGCACGCTGGGGGTTTCGGCCACCTCTGTTGCCCGGGTCGGCAACTATACTCCAGGAACATCCCGGAAAAACGGAAGACTCTTCGCCTCCAAGAAGCAGGAGGTCGATGAGAATCTGGGTAGAATGGCATGGCCCGTTTGAACCAAAATTGCGGGTGCTTCAGAACATGCGGAGGTGGTCATATCCAACCGAAGCTGCTTTCACCAACCCGCCCAAAACCCGAGCCGCATCGCCTGCGTCTCCTGCCAGAGGCTCCAGAAATCTGACCCAACGACCTTCTGTCTGCGTCGTTATCCAACCAACGAAAGTGCCAGAGAGTCGAAAAGACCATGCATTGCAACCTACGTCGGACTGAACCCCGCCTCGTCAGGTTTACTCGGCTCTTGTCTTCGCCAAATTTACGGACGTTCTGAGCAAAATCATTCCTCCGATTCAATCTCCGGGGTGCGCGACAATTCCTCTTCCTAGCAGGCTTACCACTTTCCTGGGGGGACTGATTGAACATCACGATTCAGATTACTTTTCTTCGCGCCCTCCTGCACTTACTAAGACTGGGAGGAGGCCAGCGCTGATCAGACCCAAATGTTGCCGTCCGCGTCTACTTGCAAACACGATGAGACGCTGTCATCCCCTTATCGGCATGGCGAATTGCTTCGTCTCAAGTACTCCAGGCACCATTTCCAATGGATGAACCCTTAAAGGGCTGTGCGTGACCTTGCACTTGGACTTGATGCCCATCATCCTATGATGTGTTTCGGCAAGACCACTCGGTCTTGCAGCCTGAGCTGAGCTAGCCTACGTAGACGGTTGTAACAAAGTTATTAGCGAAGGATTGTGACATATGTAGGGGCTGATGTCAAGCTGAAGGATGGAAGCAATGCTCGAACAGGAACAAGCTGTGACACGTCCTAGCTTCACACAAGACCGCCTGAGCTGAAATATACTTCATTCGACGGTGGCGGCTGAGCCCAGCGGATTGGCTGAACCGAGGAGGCGAGGGATTGTCAAACGAGAAGTAAGGTTGAATCGCCATCCACGCATAACCGCGCGGTCGACTGCGTAAGCGGAACAAAAGCTTTGCCATCTCCCTGATGCAAACTTGGCACTCACGAAGACAATCGCCGACTGGCTCCTGAAGATGAACCTGGCTGCGATCTCCCGCGCTGTGGAGCCTGCTAGCGTCCTGTGGAGAAAGCCAAGCCCATTCTGCAAGGTACTTAGTTTGTAAATCCGGCGGAACAACCAATAAGAACTGGATCGATAGCTCAGTGGTAGAGCGAGAGATTGCAGTTCTACGCAGTTATCTCTAGGCCCCGTGTTCGAACCACGGTCGGTCCTGTACTTTTGCTTTTTCATACTCGGACTGTTCAATAATCATCCAACCTCAATCTGAGCTCAGTTTTTTGCAAACTTCAACTGTTCTTTCTACCTGTTTGACGAAGAGCATACTTTTCAGGGAGCGGGTCGCACGCACAGGCGACAATGCAAACAATACAAGTGATCTGAGCTCGCATCGGATGCCTTTTAAACACGAATGGCACGCACCATCTCCGTCATGCGGGGACTTGGCGGCCCCCCGCCTTCTTACTACTGTAGGAGTAGGTCTGTACAGCTCAGCAAAAGGTCTCAAAGTCTCTTATGTGTCGCGGAACTGACGGGCGAGCCTAGAATATCCGTCACATTGAGACGGCGAAAGCTACATGGCATATCCCTGGCAAAGATGGCCCGTGTAGGGAACGCTACGATGGCGATGCATACACCAAGGTCGAGCGGCCCAATCGTATGCATCCCTTCTGGCGATGACCAGCGGCCTCCAAACGAAACGAATGGGAGGCATACCCCAAGTTTGGAGGGTCGAACCTAGCCGCGGTCTGAGCAGGCAGCCTTCACATGTGCCGCTCGGTGATGGTTGAAACGGGTTCAGTTAAGACGATGTTACTCCTGCCTCCTGTCCAAGCTGCTGGTCGAGCGTCTTGCGGCAGTAGTGTGTGGTGACTGACATCGAAATATCATTGTTCTGAATCTGCCATTCCATTTCTTATTCGGTTTCCCAGTTCAAATTCCCTTCTTTTCCGGAGAAGCCGCACCTGTCAAACGATCGAGACAAGACAGGGAGCTTCGATTTTCCTGCCCTAAGCCAAAGATGGGTTTGCTCGAGAGCTTGACGACCGCCAATCCCCTTCACGTCGCGGGCTACGTGTTTGGGGCATACGTCCTTCTCCTCGTCTTTTACAGAGTCAGAATCGAGTACCTGATTAAGAGGAGCGGCGGTGTCAGGGCACCAGTCATTGCCTCCAACCCCGTAACTGGTAGGCACGAACTCTAGGAGCTTCCCCGCTCCTGTTGTTGGCGATCACCAACCGACTAACACCAAAAAGCCATCCCAGTCTTTCTGCGTATTGGACAGTATCAGCTCAGACATCAGCTCCTCGAGGGGTTCAACTCGCTCTACAATGTCGCCACCAAGGAGTCTCCCAACACCATTGAGATTGGCTTCACCGGAAAGCTGCGGTTCCTGATTACCAAGGAACCGGAGCACATTAAGACGGTCCTGACGTCGAAGTTTGCAGACTTTGGCAAGGGCCCGATGTTCCACCAGGTCTGGTCACCGTTCCTCGGCGATAGCATTTTCACGACCGATGGAAAGACATGGCAGGACAACCGGTCGTTGATCAGGCCCATGTTCATCAAGGATAGAGTCAGCGATCTCGCCATCTTCGATAAGTGGTCCAAGGCCATGATGGCCAGGTTCCCTGCTTCCGGTGTGACCTTTGATATCATGGACTTGTTCTACCGCATGACGTTGGACGTCACGACCGACTTTTTGCTGGGACACAGCGTCAACAGCTTGAGCAAGTAAGTTTCCATGTTCTGTCTAGGTTTGCGAGGTGCGACTGACACGACCCGAACAGCCCGAAGCATCACTTCGCCCATGCCTTCAACGAAGTGCAGAGCTACCAGATGTTCTACACCATCATGGCGTAAGCAAGAAATTTCCAGTAGTCTTAGGCTTGACTAACAATTCCAGCCCCTTCGAGTCCATTCTTCCCCATGGCAAGTACAAGCGTGGCATCCGAGTCATTGAGGAGTTCGTGGTTCCCTTCATCGAGGAGGCACTCGCGCTTCCCCCTGACGAGCTCGAGAAGCTGTCGAAGTCGGACAAGGATTTCACTTTCCTGCACAACATTGCCCGCTTCACCCGCGACCCCAAGATCATCCGAGACCAGCTCATCGCCATTCTGCTCGCCGGACGCGACACTACCGCTGCGACGCTCTCCTGGACCGTCTACGAGCTCTCCCGCTACCCCGCCACCTTTGCTAAGCTTCGCAATGAGGTTCTCTCCGCAGTTGGACCAAAGAAGCAACCTACGTACGAAGACCTGAAGAACATGAAGTACTTGACAAACTGCCTCAACGAGACGCTGCGTCTGTACCCGGCAGTACCGTTCAACGTGCGCTCAGCATTGACCACGACGACCCTGCCCGGGCAAAACGGAGGCCCTGATATTGCTGTACTGGAAGGCGACTCCGTCGTCTACAGCACGCTGGCCATGCAGAGGAGGCGGGACCTGTACCCCGAGGTGTCGGAGACGTTCGCGGACCCGGCCATCTACAGCCCCGAGAGGTGGGAGAACTGGACGCCGAAGCCGTGGCAGTACGTGCCGTTCAACGGCGGACCGAGAATCTGCGTGGGACAGAACTTTGCCATGACGGAGATGGCTTACACATGTGAGTTTGCTACGAACCTACCCCCCCACCACAGCAGAAGCTAACTGTTGCCGTGCCGCAGTGGTGCTATTTTTGCAAAAGTACGACAGGCTCGAGTACAGGGGCAATTGGAGCGAGCAGGTGCTCAAGGCGGAGATTGTGGGCGCGCCAGGACACGGCGTGCCGATTGCGCTCCGCGAGGCGGTCGATGGTGAGATGGCGTAAGCGGGAGGCGTGCTGAAGAGAAACAAACCCCTGAAATCGGGGAGATCTGTGGAAGGAGAAAACTACAGACGCGATGTTACCGGCACTGGATCTGTTCGGAATCTGCGTTGGAAGGGGAGGCCTTTTGATAAGGAGGTCACGGTCCGTCAAGCCTTCACAAGGATAATGGGATCGATAGTTTGATCGATGACTGGATAACGATGGGCAGGCAGTATTTTCTCCCTGGATAAATGGAATATAAGGTTTCAAGATTGAATATGACGATCTGCGTGTTGTTCGTCTTGTAGATCTGCGATGCCTGTCATGTGCAGCCTCGTGGGCCTGTTCTGTTGTTCAGGGGCAGGCCGGCCGTTGGTTGTTGGAACAGACTTGACTTCATGTCCATCCATCGTATCTGCTCGGTTACCAACGATAACTAGTAAATGTGGCTGACGAAAACCTCCGAGCGACTAGAGATAGCTAGTGGTTTAGTAGAACTTTAAGTCGCTGATAATACGCGTGAAGCACCGCGTCAACGGGCTGAGCTCTTCATTTCAGACGTGTCAAACGATGATACCACACACAAACATACAAGCAACGCCGTCGGGAAATCGAGAGCTACAAGCCCACCGGAGGCTAGGGCAGGCGATGACATTGTTTACCACGGTTAGCCGACCCGGAGAACAGACGATTGGATCCAACCTGCAGCAGATCAACCGTCACGGCGGGGGAGAAGACTGAGAGAGCACAAAAGAAAGAAGCAGAGAAAGCGCAAACAGGGACCCCATGCAGGAGCTCATTTCGCGACCGAGTCGTCAACCCCCGGTCTAGGCGGGCGCACGGTCGACGATGCCGCTAAGAAGCGGGCAAACAAGACTGGTGGTGGGCGAAGAGCAAGAAAGGTGAAGGCGGCACGTATCCGTATGTTTCTGCAAGCCTTTGCATTGAAGGCCAGAGAGCGCCGCTGTCAAACATGTAAGGGTCCGGATTCCGAGCGCGGCGCTCAGGGCTCCTTTTCTTTGCTTATTTCTTCCCACGGAAAAGAATAACGCGAACCCCTGCCTGTGCATTGTCTGCAGAGCTGTTTAGTTGACCGCTCACTGACGTCTGGCATATTGCTTTTTTGGGAGGCCAGGGGTGGAAAGAGATCCGGTGATGGCGCTGTAGGGTTTTTTCCCACCTGGAGCCACTTTGGCGATGGGTATGACGAAGTGAGGTTATGCTTGATGCTTGCTGCTGCTTGGGCCTCTTGGGGGGAGATGACGGTGTTGACGGACTAGGATGTGGTGGAAATCACTGCCGTCGTTTTCAGCACTGGTGACCTCAGTTGGCCGAGGCTGGTTTCTTCAGTGATGATGTGAAACTGACGAGCTTGGGCAGTTCTTTGTTCTGTTGTTGCATCAACGCGGGTGGTGTTAGTTCTTCAGCCTGCGTACGGCGTCACTGCAGAAAAACGGTCGGTCTGCTGGAGATTTTCTGACAGTGACCCCCCCATCTTCGACGTGTTTGATGAGGGGAAGCGACGTGATTGGGCTGCCGCAGCCAGACCGCCTTCGACACCCCTCCCGGCTGCTGTGCGTGGTGGATTTGTGGACTTCAATGTGGGCTTGCATCGCCGTTTTGGGAAGAAAACGGACAGGGTGGGTTCAGAAAAGAGCAGTGGTGACCCCCCCGCTCACCGGTAAGCTGGGTGATTCACAGGGGGTTCCTGCCGTCACACTGCAGGTGTGCTGAGCTGAAGAGCCACTCACACTCTTCAGGGCAGCTTCCGTGGCTTCGACCAACAGGCGGTCCTCCAGCACCTCCATCAACCACCGCCGCCGCCGCAGCCCGCGCTACACCACCACCACCACCACCACCACACCTCCAACCCAGCAGGTGAAGGTGCGTCCTCCAGACCAGGGCTTCCCGGCAGGATTCTTTGCCCAACCGGCTCCAACCCTGACCAGACCTTGAAAACCGTCCATCAGCAATCCTCCTCACCTTCGGCATATCGCACATCACGTCGCGCTTCTCTTTTCCCTTCTCCTTCACGCCCGGATACCTACTTTGCCTTAATATCTGCAGGAACTTGGGGATTTGGCCCAGCCTGATGTCACTGTACGTGCCTGCCCGTTGTCATGCACAATCGATTGTCTCACGCAATTGAGTTTGCGAAGGACATTAACGCTGCAGAAAAAGCTGACTTCCTTTCTAGCTTTGCATCGTAAACCTAGACCATCGATAACGACCTTTTTCTTCTCCCTCTTCTTTTTGGTTACACCGCTCGCGACTTCCCTACGGCAGCTCTGTCTCCTCTTCCTGCCCTCTCGAGACGCAAACCGACCGATCGACCGACTTACGCTCCTTCTTCCTGTTCTTGACCGTCTACAAAAACTAGCAGCGTCCAGTCTGCGCCGTACTTCTGCACCTCGTAGCCACACATTCCAGCGACGTTCACGGGCCAATGGCAACACAATGAGCGCAACTCCCCAGAACCGGCTCAAATTGACGCCGGGAAACTCCCCATACCTCCAGCGCCCGCCTCGATCCCCCCTCCGAGGTCGCCTGCCCCACGAGTCCCGCCTCTCTCTCAAGCGAGTTGTCGGCACAACCTGCGCCTCGCCCACCGGCTTCGACACTGTGAACTCCTCCTTTGCCTACATTGCAGGCGGCGCCGTAGTTGTCGTCGATGTCGACGGTGAACAGTATGCCCAGCGCTTCTACCGAGCCCGCCCAACTGCCTCAGCGGTCCACGGCTGCACACCGCTGTCCCACGGTTCGCCTTCTTCTTCCACGCCAAAGGCAAACGACAGCAGGAACAGAGTCGCAAGGGAACCTGCCGATTGGTCTGTCTCCCCGACGTCTTCGAACACGTGGACAAGTCGTGAGCGCATCAAGGCGGCGACATGCTTGGCGCTGAGCCGCGATGGGAGGTACTTGGCTGTAGGAGAGACTGGATACGCGCCGCGGGTGCTCATCTTCAACTTGGAGGACTCGTCTTCCGACGTGCCGCTAGTGTCAATCAGTGAGCATGGGTTTGGTGTCAATGCCGTCGCATGGTCTTCTGACACCCGCTGGCTGGCTTCTCTGGGCGCCTCAACCGACGGCTTCCTCTTCATCTGGAGGATCGATCCTCGATCAGGTGCAGCCAAGCTGTACCAGCAGAACAAGTGCACATCTACCATCAAGGGAATGGTGTGGATGGGTAACAACCTTGTCACACTTGGTGTAAGACACATCAAGATTTGGCGGGTAGAGGAGGCGTCCACTTCACCGTTGAAAACCAAATTCAGCGAGGTCAGTTCGACGCCCCAACCGCCACAGAAAACCCTTAATGGCCGTAACGTACTGCTTGGATCGCTATTGGAGGCCACTTTCACCTGCGCGGCGGTGGTCGACGAGACGAACATTATTATCTGCTCCGAGGCTGGCGACATCTGTATGGTGGAAGACGACGGGAAGCAGTCGAAGCTCGTCCGGTCCTTCAATGTGGATTTTCCAGTTACATCGATCACCATCAGGCATGCAACCGCCTACGTATCAGGAAAGGGAGGCGAATTTGCGACGCTGAGCATAAGAGCGGTTCTGGACAGTCTCCCAGACGCTGTACTTTCCAAAAGCACCGCACCGGCTGGCTTGACTGCGATGGGTTTCCTGACGGAAAACCTCGTCACAATTGACGAAAAACACTCCATTGATATTTGGAGCTCGAGCTACCTTCCTGGACAGACCGAAGAGGATCCATCGCACATCCCTATTCCTGGCCACCAGGACGCGATTCTGGGAATTCAAGCCATGCCAAAGCCCAACGATCAGGGTGCGGACTTCTTTACTTGGTCCGCATCTGGGACCGTTATCTTCTGGGACATGAAAGGCAAGGTCAAGTTCTCACTTGAAGTTCCCATTGAACAGGTGATCCCTGAGGTTGGGATGGACCCGGTCGGAAACCAACTCAGCGTGGTTCGGGCCAGCAGGGCCGGGAAGATGCTTGCAGCCGCCGACAGGTTTGGAGTGCTCAGGATCATAGACTTGGCAACTCAGGAATGTCTTCTCGAGACCAAGGCCCATTCTTCAGACTGCCAAAACATCAGTATCTACGAAGATGACTCCAAGTTCCTGTTGGCGACTTGCGGTAGGGATCGCACAGCCCAGTTATTCCACCGCCTCTCGACGGGAGAGTTCCAGCATGTCCAGACGCTCGAGTTCGCGGCCAAGGTCGTGCAGACCTTGATTCCCTCCGAAGACCGCATTCTCACATGTTCCATGGACAGAACTCTGCAAATCCATGACATCGTCTGCAAAGAGGGAGAGCCTGAGGAGATCGCTGCTCTCTCGGCGCGCACCGTCACACTCAAAGCATCGCCCACATCATTTGCCCTCAGCCAAGACGAAAGGACTGCATTTGTCTCCATGCTTGACCGGTCGATATGCCATTACGATCTTTCCAGCGGCAAGCTCCTAAATTCCTTCAAATGCCTCGACGAGGGGCAATCGGAGACTGCAATCATGGATTCTCTTATCTATAGTCAGTCCTCAGGCAAAGACGGCAATTTCCTGCTGGGCATATCCAACACAGACAAGTCTGTGCGCGTCTATGATGCTCAGTCGGGTCATTTTCTGGACAGAGAATGGGGCCACACCGAGTCTATCAGCGGTGTAGCTTTGACCGAGGATGATGATGGCAATCAGAGAGTGATCAGCGTCGGACTAGACGGCACCGTCATGGTCTGGGGGATGGAGGAAGACGCCTCACCCGTATCCGGTAGCCGAGATCCGTCGCCAATGAAGGATGCATCGACATCTTCTAGGCCACCGTTGAGACGCGTGCTCTCTAAGGCGGAGCTGGCTGAATTCCAGCGACCATCTTCCGCCAACGGTGGACGTCGATCACCGAGAAGTGTTCAACGCCGGACGTCACGTTATGCGCTGAATACGAGCGTCAGCACGCCAAAAGGCGCGGCAAACAGCCCGTCTATCGCTGAGGATACGCCTTCTCGTCGATCATCGGGAAGTGGTAGTCCACCAGTGAGCCCGAAGTC